GATACACATACACACACACAGAGAGCAGCAATGCGAAAGGGTGCCAAAAGATGGAAAGAGTCGTAAATGGCAAGACAATGCTCAGCAGAAGCACAGCAGCAGCAGCAGCAACAACAACAACAACAACAATAGCAAACAACTGTTGACCTGCTGTGCCTTGAAATTTCGTTGCTGTCATGAGTCAAGCTCTCATTTTCTGTGCAATTCTCTCTTTTACGATTTTTTAAATAAGCAAACACACTTTTATGACATTCCAATTTGGAGCTAACAAAAGAGCATCAACTGCTCGAGTCTCGAGGCAGCAGCAGCAACAGCAACAGGATGTGTTGACAGGAAGACAGCAGCGAAATGGCAAAGGCCATAAACGAAAATGTGCAAATGGCTTAAATGGCACTAAAAATTGGATGGGTAACAGCAACAGCCCCTGTCACGCCCCTTACCCTCCCGCGCACAATACTTGCAAATAGGTAACACTGTCCACACATGTGTTTTTATTGCTCCTGCCATTGCCATAGCCAAAGCCAGCCACGTGCAACCCAAATGGAGCTCTTAATTAAGAGCCCCGCCCCCAAATTCCGCCGTCCCCCCATCACAATGCCAAGTGCAACCAGAAGGAAACGGAAATGGCTGCACTTGCAGCTGCTGCTGCTGCTGCTGCCCCTGACGCTTAATGCCACTGCCATAAATCTGTCCGATTTCGCCAGCGCATGCGGCTATATAAATATACGACTGCGATGCGATAGTCGTGTGAATTGCAACTTTTATGGCCAACTCAATTTAATGCCGGCTAATTACTAACATATTAGAACGGCCTTTAGTTCTAGGCCAAGCACTTTAATGCCTGCTAAATTATGTAATTGTTGTTGCAAAATATTTGTTAATCTGCTTTGAGGTTGGACTATATGGCCTATATATGTGAAATATTGTATTTCCCATAAATAATATTTTTAAGTATCGAAAGAGTGAGAAGAAGGGAAGAGGGAATACATTTCAGCTTAAATACTTTATTACTTAGACAATTTTATGAACTGAAATGATTTGTATAACTCTTTTGAATCCAAGCTCAATATTGAAACGGACTTTTGGTGTGAAATAAGAATACAGTAGAGCCCGGTTATAGCGACGCTGAAGGGACCGTCCTTAATACCATAAGACGCTATAAGTTTGTCTGGGGACCAGAATTTTCATCGCAATAACCGTACAGACGCTATAAGCGGAGTCGTTATAGCCGGATTCTACTGTAACTTTGATATGCCTAGGCCCATATTGAATTAAAATCTATCAAACTTGTCTTCCCGAAAAAGTTCCCATAGCAAAGTATATCACATGAGACTTATGCCATTAAGATATTTACAAAAATTAAAAGTTATTTACAAGTTAAACTTAACATAATTAACCTCACATATGTTGCAAATTGATGTTTATTATTTGTGAAATTTTCTTTTACCGTTCGCAAGTTTTCATTAAATAATTTGCAGTTTTCTGCTCGTCCGACCTGACAAACTTTTTAATTCTAATGGCCAGTTGGCTATTTATGAAAATTGTAATTAGAGAATGTTAGCACACACACACACATACACACACACACATAGAAGTATTCAATTAGCAAGCACTTAGTAGTTGCTTTAGTGGCGTAGTTTCGTATCTGCAGTTCGCCTTAACTCATTCGGGTTCTGTTTAATGTCTGGCCCCGAGCACACGGCAGTCGCTGACTGTAAACACGTGGAGCATAAGCAGCCGGCAGCATTTTTAGCTCTCTAGCTTCCTGTGGAAATTGCTTGCCGATGATAAATTGCAGGCACTGTAATTAAGAATGCGACCGACAGACTCACTGCTCTCTCTCTCTCTCTCTCTCTGTTTCTCTTCTCTGGGCCCTGGGCGAGTAATAAACAATTCCAAATGCTATTCGAGTTGACAGCGCGACACTAAAACGGTAATTGCATGTAAACATTTCTTTATGTGCGTCGCTAAATGTTTTTTTTTTCTTCTTGTGTTTCGGGAAGAGCCGCGGGGATAATTAGATATGTGGAAGATATGTGATGGAGGACCACGAAGCAAGTTGATGGATGATTAAATGTTGTCTGGCATAAGTGAAATGGCTTTGTTTTTCTATCTGCTGTCTGCTGACTGCTTTTAATGGAAAAGTAGTTAACTAACTGTTGACGATTCACTCTTCATTTATGACTCAGCTAGGGGATATTCGATATTGGCATATATAAAATATTAATATCAATTATTTATTAATCAAAACATCCACAATATCAATAGCAAAAGAGTTCAATTCAAATTCCGCATTCACTTCATTGAGTAGCTGCGCTACCGATCAATAGATGGCGCTGCTTACGATTGAGTGTGTGACAGCAGACGTTGCAGCTGTTTTAATTGTAAACAACAATAATTGAGGACCACGTGGCACGGGGCGCAGCACTTTACAGTTATGAAAAGCGCTGCCAACACAATTGCAATAATTTAACTTCCGTTTCATGGCGGCATTTTGTGTTTCCGTTTATGTTTCGTTGCCATTTGCCATTTCCGCCGCTTGCTGTTGTTGGCCACAATCTGTTCGCAGCAGTTGTAACTCTCTGTCTCTGTAGTTGTTGTTGTTGTTGTAGCTGCTGCTTGTTGTTGTTGTTGTTTTTACGCTTCATTCAAGCGCGCGCGCGCCTTTCCCTTGCCATCGACCACACCCCCGCTCTAAGCCAGCCCTGCACGCCCACGCAACTACAATGGCCGGCACCAATTGCTGTGGCTTCGAAAAACAGATTCAATGTTCCATGTCCTGTGCCATGTTCTCATGGCTTCAGCTGCTGTAACTGTAGCTGTAGCTATACCAACGGAACGATGTCCCCTTCGCTGTTTTTCTTCTAGCCATACACACACACACATACACACACACACTCTTATACATTGTCTGCTGTGGACTGCATTTTTCGCAGCCAACGGCATCGTAAATTATTCAAATTTCAAGCCGTAAATAAACGCGCATAAACATAAGCACATCCCGGCAGGCTGGATGGCTGGCTGACTTTGCCACTTACCACGCCCACGCCCACACGCCGAACATCCTTCAGCTCGAAAAATGTTAACGCCTTTCGCCTTCCTCCACTTCTCCGCCCCAGTTTGGAATTGTTGAAGTGCCTTGGGTTGGCGTTGCAATTTGCTGCATAGTTTTAGGCGCCTGCAATTGATGCTCCGCACACACACAAACACACACACGCAAATACACAGAGAGAGAGAGAGAGGGAACACGAATTATCAGCTTTAACAATGCTCCTGTCAAGCCATCAACTCCAAAGGTTACCAGGCCCTCTGACTTTGATTGGCATTTTGAATGTGCACGTGCCATTTGAGTCGCCTTTCGGCTTGTCTCCCCCGTTACATCCACCCCTCGCCTAGCCCCTGCCACGATTTGACATTTTGCAATCAGCGCTCAGGTGACTTCCATTCGAGTATCTGGCCAGAGTCTGGGCCAGAGCTAGAACCAGATCTGAGCTGTCTGCTCAACGTGCTCAAGATTTTTGAATCGCTCCATGTGGCATTTGATTGATTGATGGCCGTCTTTCGCTTACTTTTCTCGTGTTTATTTTATTTATTTTCACACGCTTTTCGGCTATAAATTCTACTTCTTCGACAGATCAAATATGGAAAACGTCTTTCGACTGAGTTGCCACCCGATTGTCTTTTACTTAAGTAAAAAACATTTTGTTGTTTATATTTGAATTAATTATAATTTTTATTCTATTGGAAAGTTTTGAAGTTATATAAACATATAAAATATATTTAGTAAACATTTTATTGCTCATATTTAAATTTACAATAATATATTTCATTTTATAATATTTAAGTTGTAGAATTTATTAAAATTCTAAATTGGATTCCTTCAGAAAAATTTTAATTTTTTCTATAAATCTAAATTATATTTTTAGCTCGGAAATAATTTATTGTTTATATTTATATTTTATCTGCTTTAAAGTTCTCCTTATTAATTTATTTTATACATATTTATAAATTTATTATTTTTAATTTAATTGAAATATTTTCTATGAAAGCACTTAATAATTTCTATATTAAAAAAAATATTTTTATCACTTTTATCAAAGCTTCTCACTTTATTTAATTAAATTAGATTATATCTTCTTTAATATGATCATTACATATAAATAATTTTATTTAAATATACTCATCGCATTAATCAAGCAATACATGTTTACTTTTTTTCTGCTATAGATTACAAATTACGAGTCATTCTCATATTTCAGGAGCTAAAAAATTACAATCAATTATATAAACTTTTGTTTATCTTATCATTTGGAATTGTTTCAATTAATTATTAAGAATTTTATAACAAATTGCGGCAAAGTGCGGGAACTCTTCAAGTTTACTAAAAATATATATTCTATAATTTTGATGGCCATAGGGTTAGTCGACCTGTATATATTTACTTTGTATCCATGGCGCTTACGCGGAGGGTCGTAATCTATATATTAAGTTTATCTCCAAGTTTATCGCAAATTCTAAATATATAATATAATCATTAAAATATCAACGCGTGCGACCTTTGATCGCTGTTTCTTGATATCATTGTTATGAACTGAGTGGACAGGTGCATCCGCTCTCCAGGTGAACGCGATATCATAATTGAATTATTATGTAAGCTCCCATTGATAATATAATTACATTTTATTACTAGGTCACAGCGTCTACCGTGAACTAGCAATATCGAACGCAACTAATGAAATCAGCTTAATTAAATTTGAATATTTGTTGAAGTTAACTATGATTGATTAAAAACAGATTCTTATATTACTTATATGTGCATTCGTATTGAAAACATTAAGAATTAATTTGTTTATATTAAAAAAGATTTATTAATAAACTCAATTCATTTGTTTGACAATTAACTATAAAAACATATTTATTTTTGTTTAATAATACATATATAAACATATACATTTCTTATCTTATCTATTATTTTATATTAAGCGAATCCATAAAGTCCGTTACTTCATGAGCGCCTCGAACTGGTCCCGGGCCAGGCTGCGCAGCACCTTTCCATTGTCATTCTTTGGCAAACTATCCACGAACTGTACGCCGGAATTGAGCTGCTTGTAGTCAACGACGACGCGCTTCGCCACATGCTCAATGATCTGCTGCTGGGTGAGCGTAGAGCCTGGCTTTTTGATGACCAGTGCGCCGGCGGAGTCGCCGTTTTTGGGATCACGGACTCCGACCACGCACACATGCTGCACATCGGGCAGCTCGGCGATGATCTGTTCCAGTTCCGTGGGCCAGTAGTGCTTCGACTTGTACTTGAGCAGATCCTTCTTGCGATCGACAATGTAGAGGTTGTTGTCCTTGTCGAAGTAGCCCATGTCGCCGAGATGGAACCAGCCATCCCTCAGGGTGGTGGCCGTCTCCTCGGGATTGGACACATAGCCGCCCCACTTGGAGCCAATGTCGATCAGTATTTCGCCGACCTGGTTGTGGCCCAGGCTGTTGCCCTCCTCGTCGACAATCTTGATGCGCAGGCCCGGACAGACGCGACCCACTGAATTGTCGAGTGTGTGATCAATATTCACCGTTATGGCGCCTGTCTCCGTGGTGCCGTAGGAGAACATAACGCAGCCCCTTGTGAGCCTCTGCGCCCGCTGCAGCACGGGCAGCGCCACCCAGCCGCCAGTGATGAAGGACATCTTGATGGTGGCCAAGGACTCCTCTGTGGCCAGCGGGTGGGTGAATAGCTCATAGGCCTGCCAGGGCGCCATGGCCAGCGTGGTGACCTTATACTTCTGGATGAGCTGCACGAACCGCTCAGCATTGTAGGCCCCCTCGAATAGTACACGGGATGCGCCATAAAGCAGGCTAATGGCAATGGAAATGAAGCCCGTCGCCCAGTCGACAGTCGCGTGGGTCAATATGATGTCTGAGCTGTTGCAGAAGCTGTTGCGTGAGAGAGAGAGACAGAGAGAGAGAGAGGGAAGATTAATATAATTAGAACTGATTGATAGAGCACTCGGATCTGGTTTGGCTTACGGTGATATCTGGAGTATGTGATAATGGGAAATGGCCACAGCCTTGGGCAAGCCAGCGGTGCCCGACGAGCACAAAATGATGGCCGTCTGATTGCCATCCTTCTTCAAGGTAGCGGGTCTAGAGAATAGAGAACAGAGAATCCGATGTAGGATTACTTTAATGGGCAAGAGGATGGGCAGACTCACTGGTAGGTTGCCTCCCCGGGCACGGGCTGCAGCAGCAGATCCTCAATGTGGGGCACACCGGGCACTCGACCCGTAAGTGTGATAATTTTTGGCGCAAACGCCTTGGTGACTTGCTTGATGCGCTCGTAGTCGGCGGCATCGCAGAACATGATCTTTGGCCTGGTCACGGCAAAGAGATGGGTCACTGTCTCGGCATCGCGTGTGGCATTCACGGCGTGGAACGGTGTCGCTTGCAGTAAGCAGGCCAAGATAAGTGGATCGATGTATTTGCTGGAGTGGGCAATGATGCCGACGACATCCTCCTGCGTCAGCTGCTCTCGCTGCAGGTACAGCGCCAGCCGAATGCCCCATTGGCGTATTTGTCCACTGGTCACCGTGGAGCCGTCCACATCGTTGATCTATAAAGATCAGCGAGCTTCAGCTGAGCTCCAATCGAATAGACGAAGTCTGCCATTTACCTGAATCACTAGGTTGGGATAGTTCCTGAGGGCACAGAAGAACACTTCACCCGCTGAGCAGTCGGGATCGTAGTACGGACGCTTTTTGAAGCCACTCCAGATCTTGGTCTCCGCATCGTAGAACGTTGGGAATATTGCTTTGGTTGCCATCGCGTCTGCCTTGAAGCAAATTGGTGATTGGAATTCTCCTACAGCTACTGCCTTTATATATGCTCGATCCGTCTCATATCATATCAACTCATATCATATAGCTCATTGTGACTTTTATTTTTTAGCTGCTAAGCTGATCAGCTCAAGCATATTAAAGAGATTAGCCAATGCAATTTTTCTTTCCTTGGAATTTAAATATTTTGTTTTTAATATCAGCTGATTTTGTTTGTTTCCATTCGCTTTTTATCTTTTTTTTTTTTTTATTCTAATTTAGATAATCTTCTAGGCCAATATATAGTGCGTCCGCTAACGCTATTTGGGTTCGCATTGATTAGCTAGGGACTGACTACCGTTTAACAACTAAATTCTTAACAACAACAAAAATGTAAAAAAAAAAATAAATCAATAAATAAATAAAACCGGCTAGTTTACGATTGTATATTTTATATTTTTAATCTTAATTACATTATTATTATTATTAAAGTTGATACAAAAGAATACATATATTTAGTTCATTTTAAATTAATTATGATTTTAAATTTAAATTCTTTTTTATTTATTTATTTTTTTTATTTTTTAAATGGTCTTAAAAAATGTTTAAAAAATTATGTAAAATGTTTTAGTTTCTTTGCCCAAGACTCTAAGCCAATATTATTTATCAGTAAGATATTATGTGCTGACATTGATAATTTTATTTACCTAATCATAACACTAACACTGCGAGAATTTGTTGTCGAATATTTGTTGGCCAGTGTACTTTGTGAATGTTCATTTGAATCCAATATAATATATATTGATAATATTTAAATGACTCCATGAAGCATTTATCTAATCAATAATTATATATGTGAAGCCAAAACTCTGCTTAAATGCAAATTCCTATATACCAATTATAGAGTAAATATAAACTATAGTCCAAACAAATCCGTGTTTGATATTTAAACAGAGCTTAAAGCTATATTTTGGCAACAGCTTTTTAATGAACAGAGCTAAACAAAAGTAGCTCAGTTTGTTGGCAGCTTTGCGTTTTATTGTTATAACTGTACTGAGCTGTGTTCGCCCCAGTAATTTATGCACGCCTCCCCACGAGCCAGACGCAATTGGAGGAGAGCAGCAGAACTGCATGCATACATTAACATCAAATTACGCCCAGCAACAACAAAGGCAATTTTAGCAACATAAAAAATAGACAAGAAGAAGCAGCAAAAAATGGAAAATACTTTTGCTAAAATGAAGCCAAAGAGAGAGAGAAAGAGAGAGAGAGAGAGAGTATGACAAGGCGAGTTCTGTAATTGGCCAAGAAATGGGAGAATGCAAATTAGGAGTAGATTTTAAAGGACACGACTTTAAGGACCCCATGCTATGCAGACTGCAGTTGGTTCTAATGGAATTAATGGACTCTCGGTGGTTTCTGGTATTGGTTTCGGTCTTGGTTTCAGTTTCGCTTGGCAGCTGCTGGCTATTCGATAATTTGCTTTGTCGTGCGCAGCAAAAGTCGTACCATATTGACAGTTGATAAAGCGCATTATAATTATAAACACCAACACGCAAGCACACACACACACCCGCACACCCGCACACTTCACACAAGCCCCAACCAGAAATGTCTGCCCATGTCTCACGCAGCAAATTGATGCTGTGATGGGTTGGCAGTGCGTGATTTTGAGCTGTTTGCTTTTGCAATTTAACGCTGCTGCTGCTGCTGCTGCTGATGCCTCTGTTGTTGTTGTTGTTGTAGTTGCTTTTACTGTTGTCTCTAGAATACAACTGTTTTGCGGTCGAGCTGCTTAACCCTCATCAGCTCACAGTTGGCGTCGCTCTAATAACCACACATACATTTCGGAAGATTAATGAAATAATTAAAGCTCTACCTACTCGCAAACATTTTAATTATTTATAACGTACTCTCCCTCAGTCTAATTGAGCAAACAAGCTGGTAAAATAATAGCTCTGACTGAGAAAGAAATACAGGAAAAGTCCGAGGAGTGGGTAATGCATGGGTGACAAAATAAAATCAATGGCAAGGGAAATTGCAGTGAAATAATAATTGGTTTAAGATATGGCTTGGTCTTCGTATTTAAATTGTAGCTGCGTCATTCAGATTCAGATTATTAATTTATTAATTTAATTTAAAGTACATTTTGACTGCCACTTCTTAAATAAAAACCGTTTTGGAATAGATTTTTTTTATATATAAATGTTGTGTTTTTTTTTATATATATTTATAAATATTTTTATTTTCAGAGTTTCTGTGTGCTCTATTATATCGTATATCTAAATTATAGCACACATATTTTCCCATTCTAAAATAAATAATATTTTAAAATAAATATATTTTCATTATTGAATTACTCTACCTATTATAAGAATTACATATATTAAAAAAATAAAAATTAAATAATCATAGTCTATTAATTATTGGATTACTCTACATATTATAAGAATTATCTATATTAAAAAAATAAAAATAAAAAATTCATAGTTTATTAATTAGAATTAGTCTAACTATCAACGCCATTAAGCTGATTATAAACTATATATGTACATATCACATTTCTACAATGGATTAATAGATTATAAACTATATACATATCACATTTCTACTACAATATATTAAGCATCAGCGTCAGCAGGAATACCCCGTGTTGGCTCACATCTACAGTGCCATTTAGCAAATATCGCACACCACAATGCGCACTGACTAAATGCTGGCGTCGGCGTCCCTGACCTTAGACAAGAAGCCAAATTTGCGTGCGGGCGTTATCAGCGCGTGTTTTCACGCTTATCACACTTGTTGGTGGCGCCACGTGTTCCGCTGCTCGTTGCGCTTCGTGCGACCTCCGGAACTGTCATAAATCTTGCATACGGCTACGGCGCATGCGTCAAACCTGTTCCGATTCCACTCTGTGCCCAGCGTTGGCAAGAAACATCGCGCCATTCATAAAGTCGTGCGATGTTTTTGCTTCTTTGGCGGCACGAGATGCGGCATCCGGGCAGAAGAACTGGTCCTGATCCCGGGACTTGGGCACGGCCAAACAGTTTGCGGTGATTCCTAAGACGGAGCGGTTGCAGCAACGGCAGCAGATAAATTCCGGACAAGCGCAGCAGAGTCACTTTGAGACATACAGCAGCCACGACGTGTCATAGCATTTGAATTATGCATTAGCCATCAGCTTTACTTTGGCATGCTGCAAAATACGAAAATACGAAATACAAAATACGAAATAAACAGTAAGAAATACTATCGTCCTTTCAAGTTGTGGCCTGCTGAGTAAATAATAAGAATTGCAGCGATCGAAAAGTTTGCACTCGCAGTGTTGTTTAAGTGTGCCATAAAGTTAGCCGTGAAAGTTAAGTGCGCTCTTACAACTCGCAACTCGGCCGGAATCTGCGGCAGTTGCCGTAACACGTTGCCGCAACTCCAAACTCCAAACTCCAAACTTTTGGTTGTGGCACGGCCCAGCACGGCCCGGCCCGGCTCGGTCCGCTCTCAGACAGCTAAGCAGTTGGACTCTTAGTTGCAACTGCTGTCAGAATATTTGCAACATTTTCCACTTTTTGACAACAGAATTTAGTTAACGCAACGTAACGGTATCGTGCGCGTCGCGGAAGCGGAAGTGAACTTGCCGCAACATAACTGAACTGCTGTGAATTGTTCTTTTTTATCGCCCATCCTTCTGTCTATCTCTCTCACTCTCTAACGGATTGCAGTCGCGGACACACACACACGCGGACAGAGAGGACGGCTGAGTGTGTGATGTGAATGGTAAGTGCAAGTGCTTTATGCCATGGGTAACACAACAATTTTCCAAGCGATTCTCCACATTCGTTTTACGCTCTTTATGAATTATATATTTGCTACTCCTGCTACTCCTGCTACTCCTGCTACTACTGTTGCTCCTGCTGCTACTGCTACTACTGTTGCTCCTACGCGCTGCAATTTCAACTTTGTTCTTACTGCGGTTAACAAGTTTTGTCAGCGTGTTTGTACAGGTTGCTATTACTATTACCCCTTCTATTTTATTTTATTTTCATTTTTTTTTGTCATTTTGCCTGCTTTGTCTTTGTCTAAGCTTTGATTGCTGTTTTTGTGCGGTTCGTGCCCACGGCTCAACCGCAAAATTCTGAGTTATTGCAGCAAACATAAAGTGAAGAAATGTTGTGGTCACGTTTGGAATGCAGCTGGGTCTCTGTTTCCTTTTTTCTTTTGACATTTTTCATATTTTTAATTGCCTGCTTCGACTTGAAGAGAAATTCATAAAGTCCCAAATCAATGGAGTACAATTAGCCTGAATTTCCATTTGTTTTTCCTTTGTTATTCGAACCTAGAATTTCGAATCATTTCACCCTGGGCCTAAACATGCCAATAGATTTTTGTGGTTGGTTTTATTTTAAAATTTTGTTAGTTTCTTACTTCCAATTTGTGGTTTAGTTGTTTATTTTATTTTATTTTATTTTTTTTTTAATTTTTTTTTTTTTGTTTATTATAATATATTGCATATATTGAAATTTTAGAATAAGTGTCAATGTATTGTTAAAAAGATGGGTGCATCTACCCAAACAGTAATATGCAGCATGTAAATAAAACAGTAATATTAGGCCCATAAATATATTTTAGATACAAAACAAAAACTATTATGCAAAAATTCAATTCCATTCAATTCAATATATAGTTGAATAATATAATATTTATAGCTAGATTAACTAGCCCATTCATAAATAGTTAATATTTGTTTGGTGGCCAATTTATATCCATATATGATATTTATAT